CCGCTCATGTATTGACCCATGTGCCTGTTCATCTTAGCCGATATGATGCCTGACAGGAGCTTCCATGTAGTACTGAGGCAGGTTATTGGTCGGTAGTTGGAGGGGACCGGTCCCTTCTTGGGGTCCTTGGGGATCAGGACCGTCCGGCCTTCAGTTAGCCATTCCGGGTGTCTCTCGTTAACTAGCAGCTGGTTCATTTGTGCTGCCAGACGCTCGTGGAGTGCAGTCAGCTTCTTCAGCCAGTAGGCGTGAACCATGTCGGGCCCTGGTGCTGTCCAACTCTTCATACTGGAGACCCTTTCTTGGATATCTGCCACTGTGATGGTTACTGGACCCTGTTCAGGGAGGTCGCTGTGGTCTGCCCTCAGATCCACTAGCCACTGAGCATTGCCGTTATGGGTTGCGTCCTTCTCCCATATGCTCTTCCAGTATTGCTCCGTCTCCAGCCTTGGTGGTGCTGTTCTCTTATTGTTCCCTTGCCACTGAGAGTACACCTTTGCTGGTTCTGTGGAGAACAGCTGGTTTATTCTCCTGCCTTCTATCTCTCTGGTGTACCTCCTCAAGCGGCTGGCCAAGGCTGTGAGTCTTTGCTTGGCAGTTTCCAAGGCCTCAGGTATGGACAGCTTGCTGTATTTCTTATGCACCTTCTTTGTCGCACCTTTCTGCAACTCCGTTAGTTGGCTAACCTCCCTCCGTGCTACTTTGATCTTGCCCTCTAGCCTCCTTCTCCATGGAGGGTACTGCCCCTTGTGGCTGTTCAACTTGTAGCCAAGCATCTCACTGATCACTGCTGCCGTATTGTAGATCAGCTTGTTAGTGTCGGTAATCGTGGTTGTAGGTATTGCCCGTAGTGCTGCATTAACATCATCTAGCAGACCTTCTGAGGGTACTTCACGTAATCTTGGTAACCGGCTACGGGGGATCCAGGTTTCAAGTTTGGCCATGATCCTATTTTTCAGGTCAGTTCCTCTCGCACTCAACGATCCTTCTCCTATCGCACTTGGGGCTATGTACCCAATCTCGGGTGGGGGGGATGATATCTCCCCCCTGACCTGGCGTCCTGACTCCTCCTTGCCATAGCATTTGTGTTGTACCTCGTCAATCTCTAGCTGTGAGAGCAGTCCCTTCTTTCGAATGTTGGAACACTGAGCTACTAGTTGTTTCGCCGTCATTGTGGATGTTGGATATCGAAGAATCCATAGGTCCCGCATCCTATTCATGTAGCCCCTTCCGCCGGGGTTACTTGCGTAGTAGCATTCCAACAACGCCCTGTTTTCGTCTCTTGCCCACCGATGCCTTCTTGTTCCAGTAGCCCACTTTTCGTCAGGGTGCCCTGGTTCCTCAACACCTGACGCGGACCTTGTTGATCCGGGCGACGTCCGAGCCGGCATGCCTTCATATTTATCTGTCTCGCTCATGTCTGCGGTAGGCTTAACATAGGGGGTCTAGCCTTAGGACCCTTACTGGATACAGACGCCCCAGGCAGGAATCGAACTTGCGATCCTGGGTTCCAAAGGCGTGTAGTCTAACCACTACTATCTATATATATATATATATATATATATATATATATATATAGAACACAGTGATCCCAGGATTGAATACACTCAACAAAAATATAAACGCAACACCTTTGTTACTGCTCATCCACATGGGATGGACGTAGAGACCTAAAATCATTCTCAGATACACAAAATGCCACAGATGCCACAAGCAATGAGGGAGCGTGCAATTGGCATGCTGACAGCAGGAATGTCAACCAGATCTGTCGCCCGTGCATTGAATGTTCATTTCTCAACCATAAGCCGTCTCCACAGGCGTTTCAGAGAATATGGCAGCACATCCAACCGGCCTCACAACCGCAGACCTCGTGTAACCACACCAGCCCAGGACCTCCACATCCAGCAGGTTCACCTCCAAGATCGTCTGAGACCAGCCACCCAGACAGCTGCTGGAACAATTGGTTTGCACAACCAAACAATTTCTGCACAAACTGTCAGAAACCGTCTCAGGGACGCTCAACTGCATGCCCGTCGTCCTCATCGGGGTCTTGACCTGACTCCAGCTCGTCGCCGTAACAGACTTGTGTGGGCAAATGCTCACATCCGATGGCGTCTGGCACGTTGGAGAGGTGTGCGCTTCACGGATGAATCATGGTTCACATTGTTCAGGGCAGATGGCAGCTGAGAATGTCCCAGTTCTTGCATGGCCAGCATACTCACCGGACATGTCACCCATTGAGCATGTTCGGGATGTGCTTGACCGGCGTATACGACAGCGTGTACCAGTTCCCACGAATATCCAACAACCTCGCACAGACAAAATAAATGTTTATTAAGCAATTTTGATAGGAAATTGCTTAATTTTAGAAATGTTTTTGCTCTTTTTTGCTCTATAAAATAGTTGTTTTCTTTCAGAATCATTCATCTTAGTAGTAGGATTTACATGAAAAGAGAAACAAATTAAGTTTGAGTGACTCAAAAAACCCGATTCACTTTGGTGAGTGACTCATTAAAACTTGATTCAGTAAAAAGAATCAAATTTACCATCACTACTTGAATCATTTATTTTGATGTCTTATGGTTGAAATGTATGGAGGACCACAAGAGCCACGTGCATCGAAATAAAGAATTCTGTGCTTAAATAATTAATTGTAGAATAAATTCTGCATTTGTAAATTCATTTTTGAATTCTAATTTAATAAACTGATTTTCAAAATGCTTTTTAAAAAACGAATTTCAAATAGGGCTGGGCAATATCATACCGTTCATGGTAATACCGGGTAATTTTGGGCAATGATAGGAAAATTAAATATCGCAATAGAATATGGGTAAACCGCGCATGCGCAGTGCTTATGTTTACATACGCACATGGCGGCGACGCAGAATGAGAGTGAAAGCAGATCGTTAAATGAAACGGATGAACCAGAATTGGTTTGTAAAAATGCTGCAACTTCAGTGGTGTGGAACTGGTTTAGCTTTCGTCCGTCAGATACACAACAAAGCACTATTTTTGGTAGCGCATGCTAGCGGGCCGTCCTTATTACCGTGTTGTTTGGAAAATACGTCACACTTAAAATCAATCCTTTGATTTTTCTGAAAAATGTATGAATTCTGGTTGTGTTTACTGACCTCGAAACGATTTTATGTGGTACACGGCGCTGGAAAATCTGTCAAATGTTTTAGTACAACTTTGCTAAGCTACGAACCGGCACCGCTTGATGGATTGTCGGAGCATTACGGCTATCGTAGGCAGGAGCCTCGCGGAGTGATACGTACTGCGCTTCAACATAATACACTGAACAAAAATATAAACGCAACACTTTTGTTTTTGCTCCCATTCCCCATGGGATGGACGTAGAGACCTAAAATTCATTCCAGATACACAATATAACCATCCCTCCCAAACAGTGGTCACAAATCAGTCCAAATGTGTGGTAGTGGGCACATCTGCCATATTGAGATAATCCATCCCACCACACAGGTGTGCCAAATCAGGATGCTGATCTGACATCATGAGTAGTGCACAGGTGTACCTCAGACTGCCCACAACAAAAGGCCACCCTGGAATGTGCAGTTTTGTCTCACAGCAAAATGCCACAGATGCCACAAGCAATGAGGGAGCGTGCAATTGGCATGCTGACAGCAGGAATGTCAACCAGATCTGTTGCATTCATTTCTCAACCATAAGCCGTCTCCACAGGCGTTTCAGAGAATATGGCAGCACATCCAACCGGCCTCACAACCGCAGACCTCGTGTAACCACACCAGCCCAGGACCTCCACATCCAGCAGGTTCACCTCCAAGATCGTCTGAGACCAGCCACCCAGACAGCTGCTGGAACAATTGGTTTGCACAACCAAACAATTTCTGCACAAACTGTCAGAAACCGTCTCAGGGACGCTCAACTGCATGCCCGTCGTCCTCATCGGGGTCTTGACCTGACTCCAGCTCGTCGCCGTAACAGACTTGTGTGGGCAAATGCTCACATCCGATGGCGTCTGGCACGTTGGAGAGGTGTGCGCTTCACGGATGAATCATGGTTCACATTGTTCAGGGCAGATGGCAGCTGAGAATGTCCCAGTTCTTGCATGGCCAGCATACTCACCGGACATGTCACCCATTGAGCATGTTCGGGATGTGCTTGACCGGCGTATACGACAGCGTGTACCAGTTCCCACGAATATCCAACAACCTCGCACAGCCATTGAAGTGGAGTGGACCAACATTCCACAGGCCACAATTGACAATCTGATAGACTCCATGCGACGATGTGTTGCACTGCATGAGGCAAATGGTGGTCACACCAGATACTGACCGGTTCTGGGTCCCCAGACCCCCAATAGCGCAAAAAACTGCACATTCCAGGGTGGCCTTTTGTTGTGGGCAGTCTGAGGTACACCTGTGCACTACTCATGATGTCAGATCAGCATCCTGATGTGGCACACCTGTGAGGTGGGATGGATTATCTCAATATAGCAGATGTGCCCACTACCACACATTTGGACTGATTTGTGACCACTGTTTGGGAGGGATGGTTATATTGTGTATCTGGAATGAATTTTAGGTCTCTACGTCCATCCCATGGGGAATGGGAGCAGTAACAAAGGTGTTGCGTTTATATTTTTGTTGAGTGTATATATATATATGCAATTATACAGATTACTAGTAGAAGAAGAAAAGGGATCCTGTCTATCCCGCAATATACGCTGAATTCTGAAAACTCTCCTTATCAATCTTGCACCTTCCGCAATGGGTGGCTCGCGTAAACGGACAGGACATGGCTGCGACAGACTTCCCAAATCCACCTTCGCTTTTATAGCCGTGGTCTCTCATCTTAATTACACGAAGTAATTTACTATTACTGCTCTAAAATAAGAATTACATCTGAAATAATCAAATACATGAAATAGACTGATTAATTGTACATTTCCCTTCTTTTAGGAAATGACCTGTATGTATCTGTATGAAATCAATAAAAGAATCAAATACTGCATTAGCTTTAGTTACATTGATAATATTTATTTATGGAAATACAGTGGAAAAATATCGCTGTTGTTTTCGTATAAATGAAGCGGACATACCTGAGTGGCCGCGATCTAATCCTGTTTACATAAAGTAAGCCTGCTCCCAAGCAGGTTTACGCTTACGGATCTGTTGCTATGACAGCAAGTCCCAGATGAGCTTCGGAGAACCGAATGATCCAAGATCACGCGAAATCGTCAACAATCAAATCCAGCCAACTTACTCAGCGAAGAACGAACCCCTGTTTAGCACCTCACAGTAAGCAGGAAGTTTGTTTTCAAAATAAAGATCACTTTTTGTTATGTCCAAACTTTATTACTACTTTCAAACTTTTATTAAAATTTTATAAGAGCAGAAGTTAAAAACCTGAGACCAACTTGGTATTTACATGAAAACTAATAAAACCTGAGACCCAGACGCTGAATTCATAAATACTGAAACACAAAGAGCAGTAAAGACGCCGCGGACAGGAAACTGACATCACCACAGAACTCCAGCGTCCCCAATAATCAATCATGAAAACAGCTGAGAAATAAAAACATTTAAAGGACACTTAAATCAAAACAAGGCAGCCGATCGTCACGGTAACGGCACGGCTGACGTCACATGGGCTTGGTGGTGCTGTTATAAACAGACGTCTCCTCCTTGGACAGTGCTTCGTGGGTGGGGCCCGTGTTGACGGGCCTGTGTGTGCGCCTCTTGCGGGCCCTCAGGAAGCAGTAGGCCAGGATGGCCAGCAGAGACAAGATGGCCACCGACAGGATCACAGCGAGCGTGATGGAACCTGTGGAGGAGGACAGTGAGGTCATGTCCTGTTTGTACTGTAGAACAGTTGAAAGCTGAGGTTAAATCTCTCACTTGAGTCGTCGTCTACTTCCTTGTCGAAGCGCTCAAACAAACCTCTGGCGAACACATCGTTCTCTGCAGGGAAAGAAGAAAAAGCAGCAGTGAGTTCCAAAACTCATAAGCGGGTGAGCCGCTCTCTCTTCCCGTTTCCTTATCTGGAAGTCAGCAAGTTTTATGAAGTTCTGCCGGAGTGCTTACATTTCTGTGCTTCAGCACAAACTGCGTCAGGTTAGCGAGAAGACGTCTGAATGACATTGTCACAGAGTCATGTGACTGCAGTGTATGGGAGCAGTTTCTGTGTGTGGAGCTCATCTCATGAGTGAAGGGTCCTAACGTTTGATTTCCCACAGACAAAAAAAATCCCAATTTTTACGTTTGTGTTAGCTGGTAGCCAAGGCAACGCCACCTTCAGCCGGCCAATAGAAGCCGCTCCCGTGCTTAGCGAGACGCTCACTTTCTTTAAGTCAGAGCGCTGCAGTGTGGGTGACGCTCAGGTTGGGTTGATCTTTAATCTGCTGGAAAGCCAGCGCTCTGTTGTGAAGATTAAGTGTTTGTGTGTGCGAATGTGTGTGTACCGCCGACTTCTTTGCAGTACTCTCTGCATGTCTGATCGTCCGGAAAGTTGTTTTCGTTCCCGTCACAGCCACCGTAGGTGAACTCGTGACACTTCTGGTCCAGGGGGTCGTAGTACCAGCCGGGGAATTTGGCCCGGCACGGACCGGTGCGGGGAGGCTCCGTGCACTGAGCTGAGGGGGGAGGGGTTAATTAGCATGTAGCTTGTTAGCTTTGAGTATTTCTTTAACAAAGAAAATTAAAACAAACCTTTCTTCTTGTTCACATCAATGTCCAGAAGAAGGCTCAAGGTCTGATTCACTGAGGAGGAGGAGGAAGGTCAGCTACACTGTGTGTGTGTGTGTGTGTGTGTGTGTGTGTGTGTGTGTGTGTGTGTGTGTGTGTGTGTGTGTGTGTGTTACGTTGGTGGCACTGGCTCTCGTCTGATCCGTCGCTGCACTGCTTCACGTTGTCACACTCCATACTTCTGTCCAGGCAGCAGCCATTGCCACAGGTTAGCTGATCAGGACCGCACGGCGAGCCGCACACCTCTTAAAACACACACACATGCACGCACACACACTGAGCATCCTGGTTGTACTGTGGAGCAGAGATGAAGAGGTGCGCTGTGGGACTGACCTGCAGCGGGCAGAGTAACACTCCTCTGCGATGACACTGTGGACAAAAATACAGAAACAGCGTTACAATAAAGGTGTGTGTCTGTGTTCATGTGTACATGTGTGCGTGTGTGTACCTGTGACTCCTCTGCAGGCAGACAGACACTCTTGTTCAGACAGGAAGTTGTTCTCGTTTCCTATACAGCCTCCGAACACAAACATCTCACAGACGCCCTTTGTGATGTTGTAACGCCAGCGAGTAAATTTTGCGCGGCACGGCCCGACCTTCACCGGAGCCTGACAGTATGCTGAGGGCGAGGACAGCGTCAGTTACATCACTTCCTGTCAGACTTTTACCTACAGAAATACAGCTGACTGCAGTGCTGAAAACAAAAAGGGTGTGCCACTGTGACAACACTTGCACCATTTACTGTTTTGCAAACTCCCATTTTAAGGTTTTAAAACCTGACTATGGCCAGAGCTGCGATCAATACAGACTCAGTGAATCACGTGACCCTGAAATCAGCTGAAAGGAAGATGTCAAATAGAATTACGTCAAGTTTCTGCTGTGAGTGTGGGGGCGTCCTCTGAGCGTGCATGAGTCAGGTAATCCAGTCTGACCAGTTTAAGAGGAGCGAGAAAAAAAAAAAACACCATTCCCTCCACCAATTAGCTGACTCTGCTTCTACCACACCGTTTAACTGATCAATAACACAGTGATTCAGCCATCAGCTGATCGATAAAGTGACGATAAGTGAAGACTTTAGAACCAATAAAGTCAGACTGAGATGAAAACAAACTAAACGTCCTCAAAACCTAAAATTGACCAAATTCTCTATTGACTCTGGCACAGGGCTCTGCACATGCTACAGACTTATTGTTGGAATACATATCCCATGAGCACTCACAGCTGGTCTGTTGTGGGTTAAGAACGAGGACTGTGACCTTGGCATCATCTGATTTGCCGTTGGAGTCGTTGACCGTCAGCTTGAAGACATACGAGCCTGTCTGCAGGTTGGAGAGCTGCACCTGGTCAGGATAATTGGTCTCCTGCAGAAGCCCATTCAAAAATAACAGCATTTAAAAGTGAAATGAGCTGGACTCAGTCACAGCTGAATGCTGCAGAGGGACGCTGAAGAACAATTACATTCACCTGGACACACCTGCACAGACACAAGTCCTTATTTTAACTTCCAAAAACCAAGGCAGAGTGAAAACTGGACGGATTGTGAATGAGATTTGGTGGGCTGGAAGCTGCTCTGCTGAATTTTATATTCAAAGTAGTGGATACAGTGAACTACCCGTCTGTCTCCAGGTGAAGTCTCCCTGTAACACAGAAGCCCCCACCCCCGTGCTGCAGCACCTGTACCTCTATCTTTACACTGCTGTCTCCTCTTTGCAGACTCCAGCGGTAGTCTTTAATTTTTGCGCCGCTCAGCGCCACACTCTCAGTGCCGTTGAGCATCACAGTCTCTCCAGGCTGAATGGTGACATCACGGCCTGCGTTGGCGACGGGCGGATGCTTCTTACCTGGAGACAGAGTGAGGGGGAGCTGAAGTCAGATGGATTCTGAGACAGGGTCAGAGATCACGTGCATAGAGAGGAAGCGCAGCCTGAAATGATAATAATAATGGATTGCATATATAGCGCTTTTCGAGACCCTCAAAGTGCTTTACAATTCCACTATTCATTCACTCTCACATTCACACACTGGTGGAGGCAAGCTACAGTTGTAGCCACAGCTGCCCTGGGCAGACTGACAGAAGCGAGGCTGCCAATCAAGTGAGGTGGGGGCCGGCCCCGGCCAACACCAGTAGGCGGTAGGTGTCCAAGGACACAACGACCAAGACAGACAGAGCACCGGCGAGGCGTTAGTCCCACAGTTACGATGGAGGTGAGCTGGTCACAGCGTTGTGCCGGTGGCTTCAGCCACAGATAACAGGCGTCTGTGCCGTGGTTATCTGTCAGCATGGAGGGAACATGTGACATCCTGTAACACTTAATCAGCTGATCACGGCGGTCTGAGAGAACGAAGCTGCAGATCATCTTTAACCCGCTCCTCACACAGCGGAGGAACACGCCGTCTACGCGACAGCTGTTCTTCAAAAACATTAAACAGAAGCTGTGTCCCAAAACCTAGGCCACATCCTTCGGCGGACCCGGCCTTCGCAGTCTATGTGGGCCGGTGTTCTGGGAGTCGATCCTACCTGAAAAAACATCCTACACAATGTTTCTGTGCAGACACAGTGCATGCGCACAACACCAAACACCGAATTAACTCCTTTTTCTCTCACCCATCCAGAATACTTCTTAAGGTTATGGTTAGGATTATGGTTAGGGGTAGGGTTAGGTTTAGTCGCAAGTCACCCTCAAATTATAATGCGGGTAGGACGTTTTGTCAGAGTAGGATAGTTTCTCAGAACACCCGGTCCTGCTCCGACGAACAGGCGTGTGTGTTCTGACCTGGCGACCCCGTCGGGCTCCGAGTCTGCCCACCGACCTCCCTGCTGACACACTTGGGCCCACAGCCAATCACCCGCCTCCATGCCTCCTCTTGCCTGCATCTTCACCCCCCTGCACATGCTCAGACCTCTCTCAGCCTCCAAGAGTCCTTCTGATCCTGCTCACTGAGCAGAACTGACATCACGGAGAGTCAGTAAGCCTAAAAGTACTCACCTTCTTTCTGGGGGGCTGCCAGGTACTTCCGGTACACGGCGTCTCTGACGTAGCTCTTGTACCCGCTCTGGGTCACGAACCTGCACGCGAACCGATTCCTACGCACGCAGTTGAACAGCACGCACGTGCGGTTCTCCTCTCCGGGGACGCTCGGCTCCAGCAACGCCAGGTTGCAGTGCACTTGCCCGCAACACGCGCGCTCGCACTCGAGCTCGGAGTAGAAGCTCGCGGTGGCCAACATGACCGCGCCCTGCTTCACCGCGTCCTCCGCGTACAGCACGAAGTCCTCGTGCCCGCGCCGGAATTCGTCCTCACAGTGCGGGTCCACCGCCCCCCCGGACCGCAAGAGCGCGAAAACGAGGAGGAGGAGGGGGGAGGAAGAGGAGCGCGTGGACATGTCCGTCTGCGGTCAGTCTACGCGCGAGGAGGAAAAGACGCTCAGCTCCGATGTACCTCCTCAGGTGTGTCTCACCTGCTCTCTGACAGGAAGACAAACACCTCGCCCCGCCCCCACACAGGTGATTCTGACGCGCCGCTGACGTCAACAACAACAACAGGTGAATTTATGGATCCGACAGGAGAGCGTGAAAAACATCACACATTCAAAGATAAGTAAAGGTGATCCCACTAAGCTCAGCGTCACAGACTCTCACACAGACGTCACTCTGTCTGTGACGCTGGGTTTAAGAAACAAGAGCTCAGTTAAAAACATGTTTATCGCCATCTTCTGTTAGTACGGAGCATGTGGTTGACTAACAGACTCATATTAGTTTATGTTAGCTAACTAGTGACAGAACCAATAGCTCAGAGGAAACTAAACATCAGAGTACGAGGATCACTGTAGTGCTGCACAGGGGTGGAGCGTGGGGGTGGCTTACTGGGCTTAAGCCCGGGTTGTTTTGTCAGAAGCCCGGGGTATTTTGGAGTGTAATTTTTTCATAGTTAGATGTCTGGCTGACAACTGTATAAAACAAAAAGTACACACAATATTCGAAGCACATAGTGCACACTGTGGGAATTTACGACTGTGCGTGAATCCCCCCTGATATTGGTATGATCCGAGCTCAGGCACTAAGCGACTGAGCGAGGGGGCGGGGCAGCTGCTCCTGTGAGTGCGCTGTTGGAGAAACGGAGCCAGCCATACTAAGGAGAGCTTAAGTTTGACCAGGTACCAAAGCAAATCATTCGTACTCGTACAAATAATGTAAATATGACGGTGACATCACGAAAGATTGATATCAAACTGATCACTTGACCAATATTACGTTACTTGCTCTTCAAGTGAATCAACAAATGGCGAAATGAAAAGCCGAACAAATGCTATTTTTTTTAGAGAGTCTTAGCTTACGTGTGTTTATTTCATATTTTCAGTTCTTACCCTCCCCGACTAAATCGGTTTCAGTTATGTACTGAAATATAAGAATGGACATTAGAGGCTTCTTTCAAAGAAAAAACTCAGGTAAATGTTATTTTATATATTATGCTTTGTATGTTGTTCAGTATATTTCTATGCAAAACAAGAGGGATTTCAGTACACAGCAGGATATTCACATTTGTAACCAGATATTTACATCATTTAGGGAGAAAACATAATTTTACTGTACAACATCAATTTAGAGTAAACTTTTGTTTTAGATAAATATTGAAATATCTTTTGAATTAGTTAAATGTCAGAATAAAGAGAGACAGAGCTGTCTGTTTTTTATCACTTTCATCAAATGTAGGAGTACATGTACACTAAGTTTATTGTTAATTAATAAGAAACTCCAGACGATTCCATTCTGAGCTGAAGAAGCTTCTGATAGGTTAGTAGAGTCCATGTGAGTAAATTGGTGGCACAGCTGTGGATGCATATAAGGCAAAACACAGAGCCTGTTTCTGTGACATGGGAAAATCAAGAGATGTCAACCAAAACACCAGGAAAAGAACTGTGGAGCTCCATAAGTGTGGCTCAAGTTTGAATACAATTTGGTGCCATTTACAATTAAGAAATACAGATAGTTTCTCATCTTTACTCTTAAAGTTAACAAATATGGTTTTTATATTTATCAATCTAAAAAAATAAACATTTAGTCTGATTTGATGTTACAATTAAAAAAGTGTTTTTGTTTTGATCTGAAGAGTTTGTAAATATCTGGTTTCAACTGTATATTTGATGATTGTCAGCACAAAGAGGGAGAGAGAGGAGAATGAGGACAGAACAGAGATGAACAAGAGCAGGTGAGACACACATGTTAGTCAAATGGTTGTTTACCAAAAGTATCACCGTATCATAGGTCCTCATGTATCTCGTACCTAGTGTTTCTTTTTAGGTTTGTTATTTTTCAAATTCTAACATTTATTAAGTTTGCAGTTATAGCCTTGTTTGCACAACAAGGCTAAATAATTATATAAACTTTTCTCAATCTAAATAGTGTACTTTGGTAGAATAAAAAAATAAGTGTAGTGCAGGTCTATGATGATTTTTAGTGCTACTATCATCTAGTTCTGATTCTGGTTCTGTCTTGGTTAATCCTCAAGTAGTCCTGATTTTGAACTGTTGTAGTCCTGTTTTAATTCCGGATCAGTTCTGGGTCTGGTTGAATTGGGGTTTAGTCCTCGTGTCTTGATACAGCCCGACTTTGTTCTGCCTTGCTGCTTAATTAAAAAACTAGTTTAAGGTGTCCTGCATCATGTGATATATATTTTTCCCTATATGAAGTCATTCTTTTTTGAACAAAACTCAAAACAGAGCCTATTAATCTTTCAGTCATTTCACCCCCCCCCAAAAAAAAAAATACCACATGCATACTACCCTTTAGGGCTAAGCCCCGGGTGTTTCAAATGTCTGGCTCCGCCTCTGGTGCTGCAGCAGTGAGGCGTTAAACCAGGATATACTGTACACTTTACCTTCTGTGGCAGGAAGTGTCTGTTCGCTGTTTGGCTAGCTACATGGTTATGGTTGGGTGTTAGCCTAATTAGTTGTGATGTTTGCGTTTGTAAAGCACTTTATGAGGACTGTGGAGCAGAGCGTGGATTTATCACTAATCAGTAAAATCGTTTCTAAATCAAGTACTGATTAATCAGTGCAGTACGATCAGTCAGCATTTCACACTCTAACCAGCAGGGGCACTGCAGCAACACCTGAAGCGGGCCAATGAGAGGCGCAGCCGGAAGTTAAAAGGCAGATGGTTTATGTGATTTTTACTGATTATTTGTGATTTGGATGATTTTCAGGTAAAGGAACGGAGTTTTGGTGGAGTGTGTTTTTTTCCCCCCCATCTCACTTGATTGCTTCACCAAA